GAGAGAGAGAGAGAGAGAGAGAGAGAGAGAATAATTTTATTTTGTTGTATTATATTAATTTATTATTTATTTAATAAATTATTGTAAATTATTGTAAATTAATAAATTATTGTAAATTAATAAATTATTGTAAATTAACTTTTGCCAAAAATAACACATTTTTCTCTCAATCGGTGTTTATGTGACAAACGCTAGACATAAACAAATACTACAGTATAATGTTTTGGCACAGATTTAAAAAAAATAAACTTTATAAAACAGCTTTTTTAATCGCTGTCTTTTTACTGATTATGATAATTGATAGATTAATTTTACCATAAATATTTTAATATGATATTATTTCTATATATAATGTTCAGTTTTATTTAAAAATTAAACAAATATTTACAATAAATGCTAAACATTTATACCGTGTATAAAATGTGTTGATATACTGGTTAATTGATTACCACAATGTAATGGCATTGAAATTAAGTGGTAGCGCCTTTAATTTGAAAATGTTTAACACTTTCATTGGTGGAGAGAGAGAAAGAGAAAGAATTTCTGAGAAAACGAAAAATAATTATTTCATACGTTAGCATATCGTTTACATGATTGCATTTATTTACACTCCACATAACTTATATAGCAGCTACTGTTACAACAATTAAATTTTTAACCATATTTATTTAAATCATATTGTCATATTAAATCAACCTATTATGGACCAGGAGGGACCCAGGAGTGTGTATAATGAACAATTTTATGAATTCATCGAGCCTATTGTATTAAATGATCAATTCTGGGCCCAACTCGGTGAACACCCATGCGCCTATCTGTTGCCAAATGTCCAGGTTTGTTTAATTTTATTAATTAACTATAATTTCATTTAAATATTAAATAATTAATTGTAATTAACAATATTAAATTAATTATTAAATGTGAAAAATAAAGTACATTTGTATGTTTATTAAAAATATATAGCCTAGAATTACTGAATAACTACAACAGTGTTTAATATAATTGTACATTGTATTTATTTATAACACCATTATCAATATGTTTATAAACAGAAAGCCTTATTCCATCTCTCATATAAAATTAACTCGGTTGTTTATTTCTTATTAAATTATTAACTATTATATAATAATTTATTGACAAGATATGCGCAAAAATGATAAACATTATTTTATAAACCACATTCTTTATAAGTGAATTATAAATAAACATATGCTCAATATAAACAATCATGGTATGTAATTTATTAACATAAAATAGTTCTACGAAATATGATCAATATCATTTTAATATCATGGTATACACTGTATACTATACAGTATATTAATACTATAATTATTACCTTTACAATGTGTAAAATAAATAAATAATAATTATATTAGTAATATTTAGTAATATAATTATATCAAAAACATCAATAATATAATTAAAACACATTAAAAATAATTAAAACCAAAAATGTTTAACTTTACTTAGAGATTCGCGGACAACCCTACGGCCCAAAAGTGTCGCATATTTGGCGAGTTCACCATGGTCAGGGACAACGCTAACCAACTGGCTACCGCGCTAGAACAATCTGGACTTCCAGCCAATCACACGGCGGGGCAACAATTGCGCCAGTTCAATCTGTCGGAAGTAGCATGGCCATATTCGGAGGAAATTGAGCTCACAGTAACGCCGGCTCGAGCCCTACGCTCGCACACAAGCAAACAACTAGACATGGCGTCCAACCCGAGGGGTGTGGCCATCATTATTGTTACCGAACCCGATCTGTACCTCGAAGCTGACCGATTCGGGTCAATTTTTCAACAATTACTGTTTACGCCGGCTATTCATCGGGGACTAACCCGCGACCAGATTGTGAACGTTTTGGCCGCTGTGGCCAATTCTAGGGAGAAGTATAAGGCCGATGCGTTTATCATGATGTTTATTGGTCACGGCGTTAACGAGAGTATCATTGGGTGCTCAGCGCAACCGCCGGCGCCGAGCGATGAGCTGCCCATTAGGGATATAGTGGCCATGTTTTCCGATCGCAATAGCCGTGCGTTACGCCAAAAGACCAAACTCGTTGTATTCAACTGTTGCCGCGAGAGTACGTGATAAAAATTAAATTATTACTTAATGTGCCTAGCTAACTATTAATTGTAAACAAAAATTTTAACGTAACTTAAATAGAAGAGGCGCAAGCGGCCAAAGTGAAGCCGGGTGCTATTGCTGTTAACGTGGCAAACAATAAATGCGTAAACTGCCGTGGTCGTTTGGTGTGCACAAAGTGCGAAACATCCCTGATAGACACACTCACCTTCTTGGATTCTACATGGAAAAATGAAAACAAGCAAACCCACGTGATATACGCTTGTGCTGAGGGTATGTCATTTTATTTTGTGTTTATCATGATTAATTATTGTTTTATTGTAATTTATATGAAATATCCATTTTTAATCAAGGTGAGCAAACGTGGCTCGACCAGGTAAACGGCCCATTGGTCACGTGAGTGTATTGGGTCAGGCGCTAAGTCATACCATAGCGCAGTACTCGTGGTATAAGAACGTGTATCAGCTCTTTGTTATGGTCTGTATATTATAAGAATATGATTTTAATACAATTATAACGAATTAATTAATTAATTATTATTATTATTATTATTATTATTGTATGCCTTTTAGACTGTCGACAGAATAGAGAAAGAGTATGGGATCGAACATCGGCCGGAAATCAACATGTTTGCAGTGAATAAAGAGCTTTATTTTAACCCTGGTCAATATAGAGCTGATGATGATGTGTATTTTTATTAATGAATTAATTTAATCAGTAAAACTGAGCTTATTTCATAAATTATAATTTATATAAGTTACTTGTCATATAGTAGAACTATTATTGTTAGGGTAATTTATTTCCCACTTAAAAATAATAATAAATAACAATAAATTTAATTGTATTATTAGTAAATAAAAATATACAATAAATGTGCAATATTTTGCTACAATAAAGTTAGCTGTCATTAATTATATTCATTATTTATAACTTATTAATTATAAGGTACTTTATTTTACATTTAAATAAATAATAACAATATAATGAAAATGATTATTTGAGAAGTTGTGTTTTACAAAATTAGTGTTTTACTTGAAAAGTAATGTTAAACTAAATAAACTTTATGTCAGTAAATTAGTAAATGCAGTAAATTATAGCTTAAAATTTAAAAACAGTCAAAACTTGTTTGTTTGACAACTCCATAACAAGTAATTAAAAACTAGATAAATAACAAATCACACAAAAAAAACATAAAAATGCAACAAAAATTTTATTTAAATAAATTAAAATTAATTTTTAACATGCTTTTTAGCATTAAATTCTTTAATAACTATTGGCCAATCCGGATCATTGGGTTCGACAACGATGGCTTTGGGTGATCTATTTACATCAGCTAGTAACTCGCATGTAAAAAACTCTTTGCTAGATAGTTTAACGCACGCATCAAAGTGCGGACATTTGTACTTGATGCATTCGCCCATAATGTGCCTCTTCTGAGTGAGCTTGTCTTCACCATCAATAGGCACATAGTATACCGTTGTTGA